AAAATGTTAGCTATTATTATTTATTTATTGTTACTGTTTACTTGTCTTCTCCCCTTTAGATTGGAAGCTCCAAGAAGGCATAAATTTGGATCATTTGTTCACCATTCTATCTGCAGCCTAAAACAATATCTGGTACAGAGTAGATTGCTCAGTAAATACTTACTGAACTGATAAATGAATTGAGCATTATGATGTGAACCTTCTATGAATCTTCTTAGAAAGATATGGGGGGGCAACATCACTAAAAGTATATCCCCAGTGCTCAGCCAAGAGGGTCAGGCTTGAAACTACACACTGTTATGTCAAAACTTGCTCTGTAAACACAATCTAGCAAATGTATAGAGCAGTTCTTTGGTGGACACTAAAAACTATCCTAGATTGAAACTAGATACACTACATATTGCTGACACAAGAAACAATTTAGGCATTCTTTAATGTTTCACATTGGTAAAATTTAAGAGCTGAAGTAATCTGGATCATAAAGGACATCGCTGGGTTTATCTAGACAATGGCAATCCTCCATTTCAGTGTTATTTACAAAAAAGAATACACTGTATTAGATTAGGGAAGCTGGGACTGTCACAAAGCAATGCAGAAAGTGTCACAAAGACAATTTGTATCATTAACCCAATATACTATAATGTTGGGGAAAAGCCTATATTTACCTGTACAAGTGGAGAGAACAGTAAGAGTTGAGGTATTTTAAATAATTTAATTATATTTAATGTTTTAATAATTTAAAGAATAATTTAATAATATATTAATAATAAATCAATAAATAAAAAGTATTAAATTAAAATTACCAATAATAAATTTAATAATTTAATTTAAAAATTTTAAAATTTTTACTATAGTTTATTAACAATCTTATCTGGAATATTAGATTAAATATCTTTCTGCTTTTCCCTAATATGGCCTCTTCCTTTTACAGTTTCCTGATCATCATAAAAACACCCACTACACTGAATATTTCTCATTACAGAAATGATATGTTTTATTAGAAAACACTAGCAAAAAGGCACTCATTCAGATAAAATAATCTTTAACTAACCTACTACTTTTATTTGCCTTAACATTGCTGTCTATCTCGGTGAAAATATGTGTTCTTGGGAAGGTTAAAGTATGGTGAGAGAATGGATTAATCATAAGTATTTCTATTCTCCATCTTTTTGTTAGATGATATTATATCTTAAATAAAAAGAATTATGTTTGGCATTTTAAATATGTGGTTATTGTTAAGTACTAAAATTCAAAATAGAGCTTCAACATTAATTGCCTGGCAATTAAATGGCTGTTTATCAGTTACTACATCCATCACATAATAAGCAAGGCACAGTGATTATATTGTAGCAGGTTGATACACTGCTCTTTCAGGCTTCCAGGCCAAACAACTGAGCAAAATGGTCACCAGCACTGCATACGGGTACACAGCGAAGGACACAGGATGACCCTCAGAAGAGAGCTGCCAAAGAAGACTAGGACAAGCACAAACTGTAAGGCAGCTTCTTGGAGTCCACAGTCCCTGAGAGTGGAATATTGCCTGGCAAGAGATAGCATGGAAAAGCCAAAAGATCTTAATCTGAATTCTAGCTCTGTGGCCTTTATTGGCTTGGGCAGGTTACTTGACCTCTGAACTTCAGACCCTTTCTGTGAAATGGAGCTACAATTCCTGCCTTAGGATCCTTGTGAGGGTTAAGATAATGAAGGGGAAGGCCTTGGAACAAGGCCAGGAACATACTAGGAGCTCAGTAAAGGAGAGTCATCGTTAATCATTACTATGGAAGTGGTGCTGACCTTGAGGGTTCAATCACTGAGGTTGTGATTTAAACATGCCATTAGTTATCTACAGTGCAGGTGAAGCATGCATTTTAGCACCAAGCCTGCCACATGCTGAGTCTTCCATAATTACGATCTAATCTTACTATCATGTTCATGTGTATGGCCATGCAATGGCAAAGATCCAGAGGTTAATAATGCCCTACAAAAGCAGCCTCAGGCTACCAAGTCCAATCTCGTGATAAGATGCCTTTTTACAGTAGGTTATGCAATGCTCAGCTATATTTGTATTTTTGTGACAGAAAAATATGGTAAAAGGTGAGTAGTTCTCCCCTCTAGAAGGCTGAAGCTGTATTTTTCCTTAGCAACGGGACTATCGGGTGGCTTGGACATACCTTAGAGAATAACTCAGCAGTAGCAACTACAAAGAAAGGGATGCTACTCTTAACATTTCTCTTTCCTTACTTAGGCATCTGATGTAGCACATAGCATTTCCCTAAATCTTTCCACAAGTTCACTGACTACTAAAGCTTGCAGCAGGACCCTTTCAAAGTAGAGAACAATCATACCTGGATTTCTGGAAAGCGGGGTTCCATGTGAAGCCCAGAAAATTACAGAGACATCAGAAATCCCAACACAACTTAAGATACTTAACTTGTAAGGACCTATCAGGAAGGTTGGACAGCATGCCATGATCTCTTGATAACTTGCAGGCAAAGTCAAGATTCTTAAACAGCACTTTCTCATTTTGTGGTGTGCCTCCATCAAAAAGGATGAGGAGTTGAATTACTCACAAAAGCTGGCTATGGGTGCCCCTTTCAAAATCCCACCTTCGCATCATGTTTTAGAGTGGGCATAGCTGGGAGACTAGCAGGTAACAAGTTTGAGGACATACCTACAACTTTCTAGTTTTTCCCAGTTTTCAAAATGTACATAAAGGAACATGGAAGTGGAAGAAGGGTAAGAAAGTGAAAGAAAAGTGGTCTTTTAATAACTGCATCTATGCAGTTATTAACTGCATCTTTACTAATAACTGCATCTTTAATAACTGCATTTAATAACTCATTGTGGCCGGGCGCTGTGGCTCACGCCTGTAATCCTAGCTCTTGGGAGGCCGAGGTGGGCGGATTGCTCAAGGTCAGGAGTTCAAAACCAGCCTGAGCAAGAGCGAGACCCCGTCTCTACTATAAATAGAAAGAAATTAATTGGCCAACTGATATATATATAAAAAAAAATTAGCCGGGCATGGTGGCGCATGCCTGTAGTCCCAGCTACCCGGGAGGCTGAGGCAGAAGGATCACTTGAGCCCAGGAGTTTGAGGTTGCTGTGAGCTAGGCTGACGCCACGGCACTCACTCTAGCCTGGGCAAAAAAAAAAAAAAAAAAAAAAAAAAAAAAAAAAAAAAAAAAAAAAAAAAAAACTCATTGTATGAGCCAGGCTGCAGTGATATTGATGGTGAGATAACTTACAATAGATGTGTGTTTGGCCAAACAAATGTTGAAAGCTCAGCACGTTTCAGTTCAGGACCCTCAGTTTCATTTCCTAATGAAGAGTAGGCACTCAGGGATTAGGTAGACTGTAACTAGGTTTATAGCCTTTTCAATTGACTTTACCTCTTTGATCCTCACTTTTCTCATCTGTAAAGTAGGGATAATAATGCCTGCCTAGCAGGGTGGATGTAAGGATTTAATGAGTTCATGCATAAAAAGTGCTTAGTTGTTGTTTATTGTCAGCCTCCAGGTGAAGTAAAACTCTCTCAGCACCTGAATCTTAGGGAGGAAAAGATTATAAGCATGAATCTGCTTAGATTCCAGGATAATCATCATGCTCATTTGCTTCCCAGTTAGAATGGAGAATGAATTTACGTGATTATTTAATTAGTAATTGAGTGCAAAGGATTTGGTCTCTCTCCATATATTAAACGTGAGAATACAGGTAAAAGTGCTCAGTAAATGTTAGCTGCTATTTTACTTACTGCTGCTATTATTTACTAGTCCACGGAAACAGCATGCAGTGCGGAAAAGAAAAAGTAAGAAAACAAAGAGGTTTTTCCTTTTTGGTCATGAGGCCAAAGGTCATTGAAGCCAAGTTTCTTAAACATTTTGTATAATTTGTTTTATACTTCCTTCATTTCTCCCTTGACCTCTGAACCCACAGTTTTTCTAAAGACTACTGGTTTGCTTTTTCATGTGTGTTACTGCCAGATTCTCCCAAACATACCAAAACACATGATTATCAGAGTTCACAAAGATTCCCTATGTGCCCTGATTGGGCATCAGTGTGCAGGCATTGCAATTAACATTAACTCCTAGCACATTCCAAAAGCCCTGCAGCCTCCAGACCCACAGTGATTGCCTATGGTGGGGTGGGGGAGGAGATGTGTCTTTTGGGAAGTAACATGGTTACTGGCATGGGAATCCTGGCATTAGAATGAATAAATAAATGATCCCTTCCCCCGTGACACTAGCTCCAGGAAGTGGGGTGCAATGTCAGATTGGAAACTTGATTTCTTGAGGCATGTTTCTGGACTCCAGCCATTCCATGTTTGGCTTCAATGAGAAAGAAAAACATTGGCAACAGCTGTTATTTCTTGGATGGGTATCAGCAGCTAGAGTTTAAACAATCTCTTGTTTAAACAGTACAAAACTGCACAACAGAGCTAGACTTCCCAAGAGTCAAGGGCAGGTACAGAAGAAATGATCAAAGTGTTCAAAGAAATGCCAGGTAAGAATGAAGATGAATAACCAGTTCAAAGACTAAAAAGAAGTGGCCTCAAACTATCATGTTCCTTGGGGCCTTAGAGTTGCCTCCCAGGTGACTCAGGGATTGCCTGGGGCTTGTGGGGTGTGCATGCACGTGTGTATGTGTGAGCATGTCTGTTGCAGGCACCCACACTCCTATCCCCTGCAAATGCATTAGGAGGGCGCCAAGAGCCTCCCTGTCTACTTTGGTTGGACTGGGAGTTGGGGCATAGCCTATGAGGGCCACAGTGGATGACATGGAGGGGTGCCAAACTGAGCCATGATCTCCCACAGTGATTCCAGGAGTCCTTCGGGATTTTTCGAAAAGAAAAGAAAAGAGAAAAGAAAAGCAAGGCAGACTACTATTTTAAAGCCAGGAGCCTGTTTTTATGATTGCTTTGAGAAAAAAAAACAAATAACTGAAAGCAAACCAAATATTTTCTCAAATAAAATGCTGCCTCATTGGTCACTTGTCAGCCTTACCTTGACATATTGAACAAGACGCTCAGAGACATTCACTTTGTATGTCTCTATGCCCAGCTCCTTAGACAAGCGTAAGATTCTGTTTTGGGTTGGGCCAACATAAGCTCCACCAACATCAACGTAGTTCACATGTTTGTTCTGCAAAAAGACAAAAAATGATCAGAAGACTTTTGTTAAAACTTGGGGGGAAAGTCTTTATGCCTTATAAAAAATAACCCCATTTATTTTTTAAAACTTAACTGTGCTTTACATCTCCCTTATAAAGTGCATCTGAAAATAGCAATCTTTTTCTCCTCTACTCAAGAACTGGGGCACAACCCTGTCTGACCCTCATCAGTAAGCACCACCATTTGTAGAGATATAAGTGAGGCTGATTCAGCAATATAATGCATAAAGAATAAAGAACACTGCAGAATATACTGCTGGTCTAGCTCCTTTGCAAAACATTTAAGTTATTACGTATACTTTTCTCTGGTGTTCTTGGTGGAAGAGCCACCTAGAAATTTATTAGGCCTAATTCCCTGATTTCTACCAGATGAAATCTTAAATCAGCCCACATTGGTAGGCTCTAGATACTATTTTAAAACACTTCCAGGGAAGAATACATCATAGGAAAAGAGTACTAAAAGTTATAAAAAGATTCATATACTACTATTTACAAATATGCAAACCCTCTCATAAACTAAAATTGTTTACTTCCCCCCTCTTAAATGCAGTTCTCCAATTTTTTCAGCTTTTTTATTAACACACTTACTGATGATTTAATCAATAAATCGCATATCATTGAGCTACAACTCCTTCATGTTTTTGTATAGTAAATTCTTAAGGATCTATTTATACTTTGTTGTTTATACCAGTTCTCATGCATGCTGCCTTTTCTTCTTGCTTGCCTGATTATTTTTTTATTGCGTGCCATTCGTTGTACTTGAACAGATGCAGAAATCATTTGAATCCTAGGAGGATGGTATCTTTCTCAGAGAGGATTTATGTTTGCTTCTGCCCAGAGCCTGGGACACTAACAGTACTAGATAACTTTATTCCATTTTCAGTGCTTGAGACGATTTGAAGATGGGCTGAAATGCACATGTGGCCTAGTCCTCTTCTAGTTCACTCTTAGTCCTAGGATGCAGCCCAATCCAAAGCATGAGGAGTTGACCAACACCTCTCCACCATATACACAAATTTTGCTGGACTCTGGAATTGACCTTCTGTCACCCTAGCTTTGAAAGACTTTGCCAAGTACTGCTCAGCTTCCTAGCAGCTTCTTCAGTGGTCAGCAACTTGCCCCAACTTCCAGGAAAAAGTAGGTCAATGCTTTCCAGATGTTGGCCCAGAGATTCTTCACTACCTTGTTAGCTCTCTGGTTCTCTAATGCATTGAAGATTTGGGTGTGTGTATGTGTGTGTGAGTGTGTACAGTACATTTTGTCTAGTCTCTCTGTATTTTGGTACAATTTACCTAATCTGTTATTTCCGGGAAACTGATGGTCTAGTATTATTCAACCTTGGCTTCTTGGGATTACCTAACCTGATATTACCTTTCCATTGCAAGATATGCTTTGCTAACATTCTGTTTAGGATTTTTGTATCTGGGTTCATAAGAGACACTGAGATTGGCTTGTGATTCTCCTTTCTTCTACTGCCCTTGTCTGTTTTTTTGCATTAGAGTATAGCTATTCTCACTAGTTAGTGATAATATTTTCTCCTATTCCTAGAAGAGTTTGTATATAAATAGAATGATCTATTCTTTGAACATTAGATAGAACACACCTGCACAGCTATCTAGGCTTATTGTTTTCTTTGTGGGAAAATCTTAAACTACAGATTCAATTTATTTTGAGGCAAAAGCACTACTCATGTTTTCTATTTCTTCTTAAATCAGTGTTACTTTGATAAATTACATTTTTCTTATAATTTTTACATATCATGTATGTTTTAAATTGTTGTTTTCAAGTTCATAACATTCTCTTTTCATTTATTCTTCATTGCATCAGTAGTTATATCTTCATTTTCATCTCTTTTATTGTTTATTTGGAATGTCTCTTTTTTTTTTCTTTAAAAGTCTTACCAGGCACTTCTCTATCTTTAACAGGCCTCTTCAAAGAACTAACTTTTGTTTCACTGATCCTCTTTACTGTGTGTTTATTTTCTATATCAGTGATTTGCGCTCTTCCCCTCTTTTTTGGATTTATTACACTCATAATTTTCAAACTCTTTGCATGCTTAGCTTATTCATATTTTAAGCCTTTTTTTCTTTTCTAATGGAAAAATTTAGGCTATAATCTTCCTCTAAGTATTGCTTTAGCTACAGCCACAAATTTATATTTAGCATTTCCATTATTGTGTAAGTCTAAGTATTTTCAAATTTCTATTAGAATATCTCTTTAGACTCACGTTTCTGGAAGTTTTGTTGTGTTTTGTTTTAATTTCCACAGCTGGAATGTTTTTCAGTTATCTTCTTATCATAACTGCATTGTGGTCAAAGAATGTGGTTTATATGACAACAATCTTTGAGACTAACTTTATGACCTAGCACATGGTCAGTATTCAAAGATTTTATATTCCTGCTTGAAAAGAATACATAGTCTCTAAAAGCTACATGCAAATTTTGTACATGTCCACTAAAATAAACTTAATTGCACTCTCCCTTTTTTATTTGCTTAATCTATTATTAACCTTAAAAAGCTTGTTAAAAATCTCTTACTCTATCGAACATCTAACTTTGGTTCCTGTCAATTTTTGCTTTATATTTTAAAGCTAGATTATTCAGTGTATATGAGTTTAAAATTGTTCAATCTTCAATTATGTAGTGATATTTATTTCATTGAAATTTGTTTAAATCTTATTTTGTGTGATATTAATATAATTATAACAGCTTAATTAGTATTTATATATCTCTTTATCTTTCAGCAGGGTTATCTTTCAGTAGGGTTTTCTTTATTCTTACTTTTTTCTTTTAATTGACAAGTTTAGTTCATTTATATTTATTATTATTTCTTTTTTAAATGTTTTAACTTTACTTCTTATTATATTATGGCTTTCCATTTGTCCCACATGAATAGTTTTCCCCCTGATTTCTTTCCTTCTTTTGGATTAAGAGTTTTCTTCTTTTAAAGTTTTTTCTTCTACTTGTTTGGAAGTTATACAGTCAGGCCTTTTAGACAATGTTCCTAGCTATATTAACATATATACTTAATATAGTCTGAAGTTTATTAATATATTATCTTTCTACTGCAAAACAGAAAAATATTCATGCTTTAATTGTGATCATCTTTCATCTAATCTGTAAACTATGAAAGTATTAAATACTCTGTTTCAGGTTTGTCAACCAACAAACTTGACATTACTAATTTTATTTTATGCTGTTGTTGATATTACTTAACTACATTTAAAGATTTACCAATATCTTTGTTCACTGTCCCCTCTTAAATCTCAGATCTTTTATTTGTAATCATATTCCTTCTGATTGAACCATATTCTTTGTAATTTCTTCCCATTACGGGTCCTAAACTCTCTATTTTTGTCAGTTGGACAAAAAGATAGTTCTAGCAGGTAACAAAGTTTGGTTAGAATTTCCCATTCTCTTTCTTTCTGTCTGAACAGTAAAGATATTATTACCCTATCTTCTGGCAGTTATTTTTGCTGTTGAAGAGTCACGGTCACTCATACGTCTAATTGTTGACTTTTCATAGTATGGTATGATTTGCCTTTTTTATCTTATGAAAAATAATTGCTTTTGAGATCTCTTTGGTATACGGCAGTTTCTCTATGTCTGGGTGAGAGTTTATTTTTATTTATCATGCTTTGGGCATGTTGGGTATCTTGTTGTTTTCCAATAATGCTGGAAAATCCTTAGCCACTAATTTTTTATATCATCATAACACTATCTTCCATCTCTCTGCTTCCCCCAACATATTTTCCAGTTTTTTATCTTTGAACTGCATTGTAGATGATTTCTTCAGATGTTATCAGTTCACTCACTCTTCAGCTGTGTCTAATATACTATTTAATCTATCCACCAACTTTATATTAATAAAATTTTAATTGGTATATTTTCATCTTTAGAAATCATTTTTAATCTACTTGATTTTTTTAGTTTATTTTTCCCTGCTCCTAGTTTTAAGAATTTATTTTCTTTTTTTTTTTTTTTTTTTTTTTTTTGAGACAGAGTCCCGCTTTGTTGCCCAGGCTAGAGTGAGTGCCGTGGCGTCAGCCTAGCTCACAGCAACCTCAAACTCCTGGCTCAAGCAATCCTCCTGCCTCAGCCTCCCAAGTAGCTGGGACTACAGGCATTCGCCACCATGCCCGGCTAATTTTTTGTATATATTAGTTGGCCAATTAATTTCTTTCTATTTTTATAGTAGAGACGGGGTCTCGCTCTTGCTCAGGCTGGTTTCGAACTCCTGACCTCGAGCAATCCGCCCGCCTCGGCCTCCCAGAGAGCTAGGATTACAGGCGTGAGCCACCGCGCCCGGCCCAAGAATTTATTTTCTTAAAACATATTAAATAGTAATTTTATGTTCTGTGTATAATTCAACTATTACAAAATCTTTCTGGGTCATTTTTTCTGCTTATTCTTTTTTGGTGCTTTGTTTGCTTGTATGTTTTATGATTTTTGCCTTTGGGTTACTCATGTGTAGCAGTCTAGATGAAGAAGATCAGAAGTGGGATATGTTGTGAAGCTTGAGATACCTGTTCAACATCCAGGAGATCTGTAAATTTCAAACTTCTATGTCAGATAAACACAGTATATTTTATTCTGCATTTTACTTATTTCAGTGGGGAGTTACTCAGGGTTTCCATTCTGTCCAAAGATCAGAAATGAAGTACTTCTTTGACTTTTTAATCTGTCTCTCATATATCCTTATGTTCTCTTTTACTAAGCATTGGTAATGTCCTTCAAATATTTTCTAGTCTCCAACATCCAATTTAAGATATGAAGAACAAAACTGGAGTCAGTACTTCAATAAATTTCTGGGCGTTTACAAAGATAGCAAGAAGACTCTTGGGAATATTCAAACATGATGTCTTTGGAACAATAACACTATCGTTAAAGCAAACAATCCTAAATGAAGCAATAAAAAGAGTGAGGCATTCTACAAAATGATTCTTTACAAAATAGAAACATTTTAAACATTAGAACAATAGAAACATTTTAAACATTAAATAATAGAAACAATATAAACATTTTAAATGAGGTGCCATGAAAACATTAGAAGTGTAATATTGTATTCTACTATGTTGTACCACAGTCTTTAGGGTCTTGATTAAGATCTCACTATTCAGCCTTTGAAGAAGCTGAAAACATGCAACTATATTAGAAAACAAATATACCAACCCTATGGTGGCTTGCAGGCATTTCAACTTTATGTATTTGATTCTGAAGAATTATGGATGAATCACATTAGAAAAAATTGGGACGTTCTGAACTAATGAGAGATTTATCTGAACAGCTCTCAGGTGACATTTGACATTTCAGTAAAGACCCAGAGTAGTTTTTATGACATTTCCTCCCAAAATTATCATAATCGATTATGCTATTATAAGCAATTCTTAATAGTATTTGATTCAGTTTCTTAATAAATACAATTTTCATCCCTGCTTCCTATAAGCTCTCTTTTTCTCCTTCTAGTCATTTGAAATGTAAATGCTAAGTCCTAATTTCTAAGCATTTCAGAGATTCCTTTCTCACCTACCTAAGGGGGGTATAATATCATGCTGAATATACAATAATAGTTCCTGTATGGTGCTGACACATATAAATGGTGCAGTATGGCCCAGCAGCCCAGGCCAATAACACAGATGCCGACAAGCATGTTGGAATTCTCATTTCCCTTATACAAAGAAACTTGTTCTTAACTGAAAATCTGCAACATGACTGATGCTCCTATTTAATAACCAAAAGGTTTCAGAGATAAGAAAAGTAGGGCTAAGGAACAACTTAATAACTATCTCCAAAATGAAGGAGTATTTTTCAGAAAATGACAGAAGAATCATATCTAATAAGGACATACAGGCAGAATATGCAACTCTTCCTTTGCACTACAACACTCTGCCTTCAATTAGAATTTGAAGATGGAAGGGATCTTCTTCTAGGGCATGTAGATTTTATCTTATTGCCCAGATGAGAAAACTGAGATATAAAGTGCTAATAGAACTTACCCAAGACAATGTATCAGGCCAGTACAGGAGCTAGAATCCTAGGCTCTTCACTCCCAAACCAATAGCCTCCCAGTGGACTACATCTAAGGGAGTACTCAGAAATTCCCCAAATAAATTTAATCTGGATTGACAGTAATTTAAGGCAAGCAAGCAAACATCGAATAGCACTTCTGTAGTGTCCCCTGGAGATCTTGTCAAAATGCAGATTCAGATTCAGCAGGTCTAGGACAGGGCCTGAGATTCTGCATCTCTATTGAGTTCCCAGTTGCTTCTGAGGCTGCTGACCTACAGATCACACTATGAGTAGCAAGGCTGTCGAGTATTCTTAAAGCTGAGCAAGGTGGAAATAGGCCTATGATATATCCCTATATATTTAAAATGGTAAGAAGCAATGACAGAAGGGTCGCATGGCATAGTGTGACTGAAAGAGCTGCTACAATATCCTAGGTCAGATGTTGTCTATTGGTTATTCCAATGTCCATTCATATTTTCCCTCCCATGCCTGCTTCTATTATGCAGCCTGGAAATGTTAAATACTTGCTTTCCCAGGCTCCCTAGCAGCTGAAGGTGGCCATGTGACCCGACTCTGACCAATGAGATTAAAGCAAATGTCACTGGGGTCTTCTGCTAAAGGAAAGCCTCTGTTGCAGACAAGGCTGATATTGTCCCTCCATTTCCCTTGCCCTGAGTGAGAACTTGACACTTAGAATCACAGCATCCACTTTGTTACCACAAGGCGATAAGCCAATATGAAATGAATGGAAAAGCACAGAGATAGCAAGAGCCTGAAGCTTTGACGACTTAACTGAACTCTTGCACTAGCCTGGACTACCTACCACCAGACTTCTGTGAAATAATCAAATGCTTGCATTGCTTAAGCCATTATATTCTGTTATTATCATTGCCTAAGCCATTTTGTTATTAGTCTCACTGAAACAACTTCTGGTTAGATAGATGCATCCTCTCTTTCCAGTCACTTTAATAGTCTTGTCCTCAGATCCCCAGCCTTTAACACTCTATTTGTATGCTCTAGCAAAGGGTCTCATTAATGACCTTCTAACTGCCAAATGTGAGGGTCTCTTTTCTGCCTTTATCCTATGTCATTTGACTCCGTTGAGCATCCCTTCCTCTTTCATTCAGTGACTTGCAAAGCACTGCTCTAGTCTGGTCCTCCTCCTTTGCCTCTACTGCTTCTCTCTGGTTCCTCTGCCCCTGCCCTGGCTTTTATCTGCATGTGCCCCAAACTTCCATCTTTGCCCCTGTTTCCTTCCCACCCTTCATTATCTCCCTATGTACTTTCATCAGCTCCCACAGATTCAAATAACTGCAACCATTCCCTTAAATTGTAGTAAATAGTTAGTAAATAATAGTAAATATCTTAAATAATAGTGAGCATGCATTTGTCCAGAATGGAAAAAGTATAAAAAGGCAATGATGTAGCGAGAACTGGGTTTCCTTCTCATATGTAGCCAGACCCAACCTGAGCAAAGAGTGTTTCTGGCAGCAGCATACCTCTTAGGGAACAAGGGCCAAGGAGAAAAGTTGCACAAAAATATGCTACATTTAGTCCTGCTTACTGTAGCCACCACACTTTTATTAAGCTGTGTATCACCAGATAAATAAGGAACATATAGCAAGTGTGCATGTCTGTGTGTGTGTGGACGTGTGTGTTGTGGGTATATAGTCACTTCCAGTCCAGCCAAACTGTAACCCCACCTGAGATACTACACATTTGATTTAAGTCTCTAGTATGGAGATTATCACACCATATTGAAATTATTTCTTCACGTTTGTTGTCGTCACTACAATGTGAGTGACTGAAGGTCAGAGCCTGTCACTCTTTAGTGAGTGCTTATTGAAGAGAATGGACTTTTATTTGATGAAGTACTTTAGAGCTATGGAGTACAAATGGCTTGCCTGCATGAAACTCATGAGATCTCCTCTACCCCTGTGACTTCCAATTGCCTCACTTGTTGTTTGAATGAGAAATTATATGTAAATATTAATATCACTTACCCTCACGGTGTATGTTCGTCCGCCAACTCTGTCTCGTGCTTCCAAAACCAAAACGTTAACATCGTGCTCGGAGAGGAGTTTGGCAGCAGACAATCCTGAAGGGAAAACAAAAGAGAAAAACATATGAACATCTAAATGCTAGACATCCATGATTTAACACATCAAATGAACACAAGGTATCATACCCAATCCAATGATCTTGCTGTCTTTCTAATAAATTCTGATCACACTGTGACTGATTAAGCCATCAATTTTATTATCTGTCATAAGGGATTCCCAAACGACTAGTTTAGTCATCTTCCATTTCAGGTTGATCAACAGAAACAAAATGTAATAATTTTTAAAATGTATATCTTGTTTTCTGGTGACAATTATATCACATTTAGAGAATTTTTGAGGCCCTAAATCAACCCCTATTGTGTCCCTCTTCCAGACAGCCTAATAGTATAAACAGAAGAATGTGTTTCCTGTAAACCAGGCCTCAGTATATCTACACTTTTCTCAACTTGAAAACCCTATATAGTCACTTCCTATGATTTACAACTATATTACATGCTTGGTAGATCTTTCCCTCACTAGATTCTAAGTTACCAACAGGTAGGAACCATGATTCATACTTTATTCACTGGCTCAAACACAGCCAAGAACAGGTTTTCACTTATAAATAAAAGCTTTCAGAAAAGAATATTTTAAACCCAACATAGGAATACCAGAAAAGTAGAGAAAATGTTGTAGATCAACATATTCAAGGTGCATGCTATCAACATGATTTATCAGTGATGTTGAGTCTGATCTGATCACCTGGCTGAGGTAGTGTTTGTCAAGTTTCTTCACCATAAAGTTACTTCTTTCCCCCCTTTCCATACTGTACTCTTTGGAAGGAAGGCTATGCGTAGCCCACACCTAAGTCATTAAATATGAAATGTCCAATCTCGAATCAAAAGCTTAGTTTATTACATCTCAAACATGAAGCAGTACAATTAAATCAAAGTATGTGCCTCAACTATCAACACAGTTTTGCCACCTTAACGGTAGTTTGTTTATGCCAGCAGCAAAGAAACCTGGAAAGCGAGTAGCAATGAAATCATGAAAGGCGCTTTTCCACAGTTTATTGAGAATTGAATATTTTTCCTTACAAGAAGTGGTCCAAAGACTGGAAGAAATGGTAGTTGGTTGGTACAAGGCCTGGTCAATATGGTGGATGTCAGAGAGTTTCCAAGTCCAGATTCTGTAGTCTGAGCCATGTTGTTTGTGTGACATGTGGTCAAATGTTGTCTTGCAAGAGGATTGGCCTGTCTCTATTGACCAATCTCAGCTGCTTCATCGCAAGCATCCTCATCATTTCATCCAATTGGTTGCAGTAGACATCTGCTGTAATCGATTGACCAGGTTTCATGAAGCTGTCATGGATAATACCAGTGCTGGACCACTAGACGCTATTAGCTTTTTTTGATGAATATTTGGTTTTGGACTGTGTTTTGACACTTCATCTTTATCCAACCATTGTAGTGAAAACTTGCAATTGTCAAAAAGAATCTATTTTTCATCATATGTAACAATATGGTGTAAAAATGGTTCACTTTTATGTCATGACAGCAAAGAAAGGCAAGCTTCAAGAAAATTTCTCTTCTGATGCTCATTTAATTCATGCAAACTCATTATCCAGCTTCTTTACCTTGCCAATTTGTTTCCAATGGTCCAAAATTGTTGGAATAATAATGCTAACACTTGCTAATAAATACATAGGATGAGATGGATTCACTTCCACTACAGCTTTCAGCTTATCATTATCCATCTTGGTCTCAGGTCGCCCACATGGCTCGTTTTCAAGATTAAAACCACCAAAATGGAACTTCTCAAACCATTGATGTACTGTACATTCATTAACCACATCCTTCTCAAACACTTCATTGATATTTTGAGGTGTTTGCACTGCATATGTTCCATGATGGAACTCATCTTTGAAAATAACACAAATTTTTTACTTATCCATGGTTTCATTTTAGTTCTAAAAAAAAAATATGACAGATAATCACAAGCCAAAATGTGCTTTGAAAGACTGAGGATGTATCTTCACAATAAAAATAAAATAATAAATGTCAAAGTGAAATGTCAGAGTTATCAACTGTCAAACTTAGCACTTAAGGAAATTGGACATTTCATATTTAATAACCCCATACATACAGTATTTGGAATTCTTATGCACTGGGTATTTGTCTCTTCTTCCCATTTATTTATTTATCTGATCATTTATTTATATTGATATGGACTCACAGATATTTGTTTTATACTTTGGGTTAGAATCTGATACTATGATATCATTTTATTGGTCAAATTGTTCCAGCTTTGGTCATTGAGAGCTCTTTCAGTATTCCCGTTATTTTGTGTGCATGTGTGCATATGGGGTGTGTGTGTGTGTGTGTGTGTGTGTGTGTGTGTGTGTGTGTGTGTGTATGTATACTTCCTTACTTTCTGGTACTACAAGATGCTCCAGGCTCATCTTGTCTTTCCCTGCCCCAGCCTTAGAATCAGCCATTTCTCCAATGAGCCTTGGTCCCATTTATTGGAGAATAGTATAGAAACAAAGATCTAGGCTCTAGTTGTGCTCATTGTAACTTGGGTGTCATTGCTTCTAGGAGCTCTCAGCTCCAGAGTAAGGAAATATATGTGCGCATACATTTATTTCTAAATCTACATTTATTTTTGTACTTCAAACAGTATCTTAGTATCTACTTATCTTTATATTCGTCATTACAAAAAAATGAAGCAAACTATAGAGATAATCATACCATGGGGGGGAAATGCTAGTTAGAATATTAGAGTAAAAGAGAAATAAGAATGGTACCGGGGATAAGACTAGTAAAATGATATAAATGATATGTAGATATATATATACAAATGGTTGAGGAGATGAACTATTCCAAGTGATTTTAAAACATAGTCATTTGATGGTTCATTTACTGGTAGATACCCTAAGGATAGAAAGAACTGCAAACATTTTTTTTTTTCAATAGTAATTTGGTTGGTGCTAGTATTAGTGTTGTTATCCTGAGACTGTTATATGTGTAGTGTGGGATAAAGCAATTGAGTAGTCAGGTAGGTATTGATGAGATGCAGGATTTGGGGCATGGGGATAAGGAAATTCAGATGTAACAATTATGAGATGAAATAATAATCCTATAGTTCTAAATGTGAATTAGAATTATTGGTATTATCTCTAGACATACTCTATATTTTTTAAAAAGAAACATATTTCTTAGTCTTGCTCAATGAAAAGGCATAGAAAAGATAACCTGCCCAGTAGCAGTGAACACTCTTAACACCCAGATTTTGTTTTCCAAAAAATCAATTCCTACTACAATGAGCCATGGCTTGTGACCTATATTAGATCTGAAGCAGGAAATGTATAAGATGAGCCTGGAGTATTAGATCATACTAGAAAGCAAGAAGACTGTCAGAAACTACTAGGATTTTGTCAATAAGACTCAGAAGCCTACCTATATACTCCCACTGGCCAAAGATGGAATAATTTGAGTATCAAATAAAGATGACTGCAATGGCTTAAATCCATGAGTTCATAACAATACTAAACAAACACAAAAATTCTCATTGGCTACCTTTGGAAAATGATGAGGAACCAACTTATCATTTTGAAAAATGATAAACAAAAGAGTCTAGCATTCATCCTACCTTTCTTATTTACACTGAATCTCAAAGCACCCAAATAGCTAATGAAGGGATAAAAGTATGTCAACTAGTAAGTAAAGATAGAAATAATTAGAATGTCAGCATTTTGCAACTTCTAATGAATTAATGGGTCTAGCATAATGATCATCAACAGCTGCTAACAATACATACAAAAAAGAGATAACCAGATGTTATCTGTCTCTGGATAGAAGTACATACCACTACCTATGAATAAGTTTCGCAAAAAAGAAGGACAGATGGATGGACAGACAGAAGGAAGGAACAAATTAAATTCTAATGTGATCAAGCCTCTACACCTGATAGCAAGGGGTCAGAGGAACATGTTTAATAACACTACCAGGATGCAATCAACAAAATCCAGATTGTAGAAAATTATACAGGACTACCTTGGTTTATTTTTTCTTATTTTTTTAGAAAATGGGGAAAATAAAATTTTATTCATTAATAAATGCAAAAATATGTATTAAAATGTGTACAGAGAAATATTGCAAGGCATATGATAAAAGGGTATTGTAAGTAGTTTAAAGAAAAGCTTTTATGCAAGCCTAGAAGAAATAATTTTTTTTCCTTTTTTATTTTTTTATTTCAGAATATCATGGGAGTACAAATATTTTGGTTACATGGATTACTTTTGTACTACTTGAATCAAAGTTATAAGTTTGCCCATCACCCAGGTAACATACATTGTACCCATTAGTTATGATTTACCCATCCCCTCCTCCCCACTCCCTCCCACATGATTTCCGTTGAATTTCACCTCCATCTGTGCACATGACTGCTGATCAGTTAGTTCCAATTTAATAGTGAGAACATGTAGTGTTTGTTTTTCCATTCTTGCATACTTCATTTAGGAGGGTGGTCTTCAGTTCCATCCAGATTGTTGCAAAAGGTATTAACTCATTTTTTATGGTTGAGTAGTACTCCGTGTACATATACCAAATTTTATTAATCCATTCACGAATTGACAGGCACTTGGGTTGATTCCACATCTTGGCGACTGCAGATTGTACTGCAATACACATTATAGTGCAGGTGTCTTTTTGATAAAATAGCTTTTTTCCCTCTGGGTAAATACCCAGTAGTGGGATTTCTGGATCATATGGTAGGTCTACTTTTAGTGCTTTGGGGAACCTCCATACTATTTTCTATAGAGGTTGCACTAGTTTTCTGGCATGGATGTGGAGAGAAAGGAACACTTATACACTGTGGGTGGGACTACCTTGGTTTATTTTTTTTTTTTAATTGCTTACTCCTGCTCTCTCTCCCCTTTATCCTTCATGGGCTTTTTCCTACAATAAATCTCTTAGACAACTAGTTCTGTCTCGATGCCTGCTCTCAGAGGATCCAGGCTGACATAGTATTTTATTCATGCACAAAACAGCACGGG